GCTATAAGGAGACTGGGACCTTACAGAACACAAAAACCACACTCGTACACACAGAAAGAAATTTAATTCAAGACACTGATTGATTCCTAAATTTGGTTCTGTTTGTTTTTCCTCTCCATATGCTTATGTCAAAGCTTCTTTCATTGCGGACAAAATGGTACTGCAAATTGAAGAACTTCATCACATGTAAAAGTTTCTGCTTCCAAAAAAGAGCAGCTGCTGCTTTGTTGTTTTAAAACATACAGAAAGGGTACATTTAATTCCACTTCTTTCTACTACATGACATACCACAGCGTGATGGTTTAGGCCCTGCCAGGACATGAGACCATGTTGCTGTTGCTCGGGGGTCGGGGTAGAAGTGTCCACCTGGGCGGTGGTGAGTCCAGGGGTGGCCGCGGGGCTGTGCTCCTGCTCCTCGGCAGCCTGGGAGTCCCGGGGCTCCAGCTGCTGCATGAAGCGCTCCCTGCACCTCTCCACGACCATGTCGACCAGCCGGTGCACAAGCTCCACTGCCCGGTGCTGCAGGAAGGGCTGCAGATCCCGCGCCAAGGCCTCCCTGTCCAGCCCGTCGAGGCACAGATGTGCGATGCTGGTGGCGTATAACACATCTATCACCCAGCAGCACTCGCTGACCAAGTCCAGGAGACGCTGCCGCAGCATCTCCCTGCATTGCTGAAAAATGCGGCTGAAAGCTAACCGCGGGCACTGGGTCTGCAGCCCGCCTGTTGTACTGGTGGCGGGCAACTGATGGACGGGAGGAGCGCCGCCAGAAAGTCATCTCCAGAAAATCTTCCTCTGACCGCACAGAGTAGATGACGGACCAGACAGTCTGCCTGCAAAGGGGGCACGACGCTTTCCTCTTGACCCACCGCACAATGCAGCCCAGGCAGAACTGGTGGAGACAGGGGAACGCATAAGCGGCGCCATCTTGGGTCTCGCTGCAGATGGGGCAAGTCCACTCACTCCCTTCAGCCATGTTGGCTTGTTGTGGCAGGCTGGGGAGAGCCGAGGATGAGGAGCTGCTCCCCATCGCTGGTGTCACACGCTGCACAATGGAGAAAGGCCCCGGTCACTCCCTGTCCCGGCGAGGGGAGGAAGAAATGCCCAGGCCCCTGGAGAAGGACACCCTGCGGCTCCCCGAGCCCCTTCACCCACCCCACTGGGACGCTCTCCCGCACAGCTCACCTCTGCAGCTGCGAGCGCTCCTGACGGTGCCCGGCTGCCTGACCCAGGCAGGGCCGGGGAAACACAGGGGACGGCTCCGGTACGGTCACCGAGAGCTGCCGACATCAGCCACCAAAGCACCCCCCAGCACCCGGAGCAGCCGCGCTCGACCTCCACACCTCACAGACACGCTCAGCAGGAGTCCAGGCACGAGCCACGCTGGGCCGGGCTCTGCCGGTGCCTGAATACAAGGAGGGAGGGACGTGAGGTCACAGACCCTCGCTCTGTGATGTCACAGACCACCGCTCTGTGACGCGGCAGTGGGACGCCTGTCTCCATGGCGCTTGCCCGTGTCGGGGCGTGGCTGGCCCTGGCACTCGTGCAGATGGAAAATGCAGTCGTTCCCCTATTCCCTGGACATAGAAACGAGCCACTCTGCCATGGCTTGTACCTGTTCCACTGCAAGCACAAGAGGTCTAGAGAAGACATAGCTGAAGCACGGCAGATGAGAAGAAGCCGTCAGCAATGCATGTGAGGAAACGCGAAAGCAGAGGCACAGTTTGCGCAGAAAATGCCCTGATTATGGCTGAAACACAGTTCTCCCTTCCAGAGAACCGTGGAGAGTTGCTCATTACAGGGAACTGACGCCCAGAAAGGGTTTCTCTGCATCCCCTGCCCTAGCCATCACATACAGCTTAAGTTAACTGGAAATGGCGGTACAATGGAAAATGCTGTTTGCCTGGAATTCCTCCATTTGATAAGCGGAGAGACACGCTGGAGGGAAGACTTGGGATGGCCATAGCTGGAAGAGTAAAATCTCCTGGAAAACCTGTGAGATGGACATGGGTTCTGATGAATGGAAGTTTCAAAGCTGTTTATAAGAGAGCTTAACACCAAGCATAGTGTGGTGGTTTAGGCCCTGCTGGGACCCAAGACCATGTTGCCACTTGTTGCGGATTAAAGTATTGACATGGTAAAGATTTAGGAAAATAATCTAGATTTATTAATAACTAATAACTGTCAATACAAAATAACTCAGAAAGAAAAGCGACTTATTCAGGTTCTAAAATGACAATATTCACTCTAACTTACTTAGCGGTACCTTAATTTATACACATATGTACATGCGGTTACACAAACCAGACATCTACATACAGGAACAAAGGGGTTTGGATTCGGTAAAATGAACACAAAAGGGACAAGCACACAGGAACAAGGGCAAGGGTACGTACCCACAGCCCCCGCCACCAATAAACAGGTGAAATAGAAGCTAGCTCCAAGAAAACTTCTCTCTCGAGTTTAGAGCAAATACTCACAATGCCTTGGCATTCCTCATCGGGCGATAATTGAGACTCTAGCAGGGGGACTTCGCCCTGGCCTTCCGTCTGGAGCAGATGACACCTTAAGGGTTTTGGTACCTGAGAGGCATCCCAGCTCAGGGGAGATGCTGGTCACAGGACTGCTGCCATCCAGGAGAGCTCAAAGGGTCTCTCT